GGGATGCGGGGCATAGAGGACCTACAATAATGAACAGTATTTGAAAAATATTGTGTTTTTTTAACATTAAAGCATGTCAACATATTCTGTTACACCAAATAAACAAAATAATGATCTTTAAAAAAGCACCCCTTTAATATATATATATTTTTTTTTTAATACAGAATAACATTCAAAGTCAAACTAAAGTGCAAGTAGCGAACATTTTACATGTCTTTATAAATGTTAACAGAGTCAGGTAGAAGATCTGTGGGCTTCAGGATCCTGCAGTTCTCCATTTGTTTTCCCTTGTCCTTTACTTCAGGTCATGTTTTCAGTGGTGGTCACCTGTGCTGATCTTCTCATGTGGTTTTCCCATCTTATCTTTATCCTCCTTTTATTCCCGTTCTCTCTTTCTTCCTGTTCTTTTTGTTTGTGCAGGTGTTGTGAATTGTTTTCGTTCTCTACTTGAGTTCTCCGATCTTTCATTCATTCCTGTCTTTGTTATTAACCGCTTGAACAAACTTACATGTGGGAATCAATTGTTCCCTCCATACGAGGTTGTCAGCATGTTTTCTAAAGGTTTTCTCATTTCCCTCCAGTAATATATGCTTCTATATGTTCTGATTTAACCAGTATAGAAATTATGGACACAGATATGGGTTTAAAAAATAGGAATTGAATACTGAATAATATTTAGTATACACTGTACACTGGCTGTTTTTAAAAATAACTTTTTTATGATTATTTATATTCTATTATAGTCTTTCTAAAATTTAAATTCACTTTTGTTTTTATATTTTCAGTTTGCATTTTAATTTGTTGAATTCTTAGTAATTTTGTTTTGTGCTTCTGTCATTTTTATTATCATTATTATTTTTATATTACTGTTTAGGTTTAATTTATTTTATTTTGGGTTAATTAATGATAATATGCCTGGACAGTATGCATTTCAAATATTATTAGTATGCTAAATTATTGTCATGTGTGATTTAAATAAATAAAAATAAAATACAAAAATAAATAATGTAATTAGTATGTATATATTGTTAGGATATATATTAATGTCTTATATTAATATCTTAAAGTTAAAATGTTTTATTATTTTTAATTATTTGTCAACATTTGGCATCAATTTGTAAACAACAAAGAAATGGTTGATATTAGATGATTCGGTGCATTGCATTGTGGAATATTGTACATAGTGAAGCACGCATTGTTGCACCTTTTAGTAAATATAGTATTCATACTATATGCTGCAGAAAATCATAAGAGTAGTATACCATTCCGAACACAGCCATATTGCCACCAATCTCATGACTTTCTGTCCATCAAATATCATCCCATTCCGAAATATGGTCACAGTGCCATTGATTTTCCACTTTATGTTCACAATAGCAGAGAATTGTTTGTAATTCAATGGTTGGTTTGTCCGCAACTTATGTGATATATGGGAGATTCACAGGCCTACCAGAGGTTAACCAGTGATGACCTGATCCAGTCACACAGTCAGCCACAATCACACTCTGAATTGATAACACAAAAAAGCGAAACGAAAAAAAAAATCACTCAGCTAGCCCAGGTTCCCTCCACGTCTCTCGGGGATTGTGTGCGGATTGAGGTGTGCTTTTATCTTGTAGGAGAGTTTCGCTCCAAACTTCATTACCAATGAAATCAGTCCCCCTGCAAAGGCTGACACTGCTGCACTCCACTTTTCCCCAAGATAAGACCATAACAGTCAGGTGTCCGAGTCTTATGGCCTCGATATCCCTCGACTTTGTTTTAATGCACTCCAGTGGTCTCTCCTCACACACTGCTTCAGTGGGCTTCAAGGTTGCCGGCTCCCAGGGGTCCACATTTTTCTTGGTTTCTTGCTCCCATGTGCCGAGCAGATAAGTGTGGCGTTCAGACGCATTACCGGCATGCCAGACCCCATATGCGTGACGCTCGCGAAGGCAGTGGTCCATGCTAGCTAGTCTTTGATTTTTCTTGTTTCCTGGAGCCAAATTGTCTTCGTCTCATTATCACGGTTCACTGCAAATCATGCAAACGTTTCAGGGCTTATAGAACAAATAAAGACAGACGATTCCAAAACGATTGGATGTTTGCATGAAGGCAGTTTTTTTTTTCTAAAGCAGTATGTTTAATCGAGGCTATGGAAGCCTGTTTCCGGCACTGAATAAAAAATTTTAAAAAAAGGTTATTGCGACTTTTTATCTCACAATTCTGACTTTTTTCACAGAATTGTGAGATATAAACTCGCAATTGTGAGTTATAAAGTCAGAATTGCGAGATGTAAAAACTCGCAATTCTGACTTTTTTTCTCGCAATTGCGAGTTTATATCTCGCAATTCTGACTTTATAACATGCAACTGCGAGTTATAAAGTCAGAATTGCGTGATATTAAACTCGCAATTGAGAGTTAAAGTCCAATTTTGAGGGGGGAAAAAGACTAATATGTTCTCAGAATTGCAAGTTTATATCACGCAATTATGAGAAAAAAAGTCAGAATTGCGAGTTTGTATCATGCAATTATGAGAAAAAAGTCAGAATTGTGAGATAAAAAGTAAGAATTGCGAGATATAATCTCGCAATTCTGACTTTTTCTCAGAATTGCATGATATAAACTCACAATTGCGAGTTATAAAGTCAGAATTGCGAGATATAAAGTCACAATTGCGAGATAAAAACTCACGATTCTGACTTCTTTTCTCGCAATTGCGAATTTATATCTCACAATTCTGACTTTTTTTTCTCACAATTCTGACTTTATAACATGCAATTGAGAGTTAAAGTCCAATTTTGAGGGGGGGGGAAGACTGATATGTTCTCAGAATTGCGAGTTTATAACTCACAATTGCGTGTTATAAAGTCAGAATTGCGAGATATAAACTCTCAATTCTGAGAAAAAAGTCAGAATTGTGAGTTTATATCTCGCAGTTATGACTATTTCTCAGAATTGCGACTTTGTCTCTCAATTGCGAGTTTATATCACACAATTCTGAGAAAAAAAAAAGTCAGAATTGCGAGTTTGTATCACAATTATGAGAAAAAAAGTCAGAATCGCAAGTTTGTATCGTAATTATGAGAAAAAAAGTCAGAATTGTGAGATAAAAAGTCGCAATTACCTTTTTTATTTTTTATTCAGTGGAGGAAACGGGCTTCCATACGAGGCTGTTGAGTGTAAGAGGTAAAAGCGAATATACCTGTTCACACAAACACCCACTTTCCTCCTTTAAACCTGTCATCGCCGCGAGGCTAAATCAAGTTGTGCTTGGATGGGAAGGAAGGATTTGATAGAATTTTTATGCGGGCGATTTTGTCATGCCGCAGTAAATGCTTATTAAAGAGGAGTAATCAGTTTTCAAATTGGAGAGAGTGCTTATCTGGAGCTCAGCCTAAAGCCGAGAGCAGCGCCAGTCTACGGGCCACATCAAAGTGCCAGCAATGTGTCCTATTGTAGATAGGTACTTAATGGACCCGCACACACACATAGCACCACATAAAACGAGTCCCTTTGGGAGAGAAAATACCTTCAGTGTTTGTTCTCAATTTACTGAAATGCCAGATTCTGGAATTAGCAACGAATGCAAATAAACCCAACAAACAGCAGGCCCAGAGGATAGACGGACACGGGTTAGTGTTCATCAAGTTTAATGTTTGGACTGTCTGTTTGACAGAAGAGGTGATGGATTGTTAACAGTGGAGAGAAAATGTCACTGATCTAATTCTGATTCTCTGCAGGGTGTGTAAACGGACCAGGAGTCACTCTGGATTAGTTCATGGAATATGTGACCATGGACCACAAAACCAGTCATAAGGGTCAATTTTATGAAATTGAGATTTATACATCATCTGAAAGATGAACAATTAAGCTTTCCATTGATGTATGGTTTGTTAGGATAGGACAATATTCGGCTGAGATACAACTATTTGAAAATCTGGAATCTGAGGGTGCAAAAAAAATCAAAATATTTCGAAAATCGCCTTTAAAGTTGTCCAAATGAAGTTCTTAGCTATGCATATTACTAATCAGAAATTAAATTTTGATATATTTATGGTAGGAAGTTTACAAAATATCTTCATGGAACATGATCTTTACTTAATATCCTAATGATTTTTGGCATAAAAAGTCACATATTTGTTGAATAAGTGGGCATGCTTGGACATTCTTAAAGGGAAATGTTCTTTATTCATTTACTCACCTTCATGTCATTCCAAATCTGTATGCAGTTTTTAATTCTGTGGAACCCAAAAGAAGATATTTAGAAAAATGCATCAGTGTTCTTTCATACAAAAAGGCCAATGGGGTTCAGATTATACCCCATTGACATTCTAAATGGACAAAGGCATTCTTCAAAATTGTTCATTTAAGCAGGGCACTTTGAGTCACTTGGGACGAAAGTGTTTTCAAAACGAATACTAAATACGGACACCTGATTTAGTCTTCTTTTCATCAATAATCCATCCCTTCTGTCTTCCTCTTTGCACACGTTTTGTTTAAATCACTTTCTTTTGGCAAGAATATTGAGGCAAAACCCAGAGAAAATAGGAAGTTATGGAGATAAAATGACAAAGATGCTTCGATTTCATAAATTGCATGTTCATTTACTGTGTGCTCTAAACAATTCAGTCACTCGTGAAAGATTACAATGGCACATATATATGGAGACTTCTTCATTTCTTAATCAGTTCCAGCTGTTTAATTTGGAATCAGGTTTAAAGAATCGTGAATTATGAGAGTGATGCATAAGAGGTTGATTTTGCTATGATTTTGTTACGATGACTCAGTCTCTCTCTCTTTGTTTTCTACCCTCTTTCTGACCCCAGTGACGTTCCAGCGTGTTGATGGAGGCTTGATGAGCAACGGGAGGTAAGATTCCTGTTATCCGCTCTCTCGTTTCCCCTTGTTTTTCCTCGGCATGCCACAAAACAGTGCTAGTTATTATCTTTGTGCCAATCACCTGCCTTTAACCTTCAAAGACCAGCCCCTCAATTCCAAACCTCATTCATATTCTGTCCATCATCGCCTGGAAGGTCATCAAAACCATTATCATCTACAAGGCAGTCGTCTTCCAACCCGTACTCCGCTTTTAAGGGTTCACGCCATTCCTGCACTGTTAGAAATTCATCTTAAGGGACACTGCAGACTATTGTAGGGTTGTTCCTATAGGTTTCCGTGAGGGTTCTTGCGACACACAACCGTTTCTCATGGGTCAACAGCTTGATTAACCTTCTAAAAGTTTGTATTTTGATATCTTTGTCTGTCTGTCTGTCTGTGTGTCTGTGTGTGTGTGTGTGTGTGTGTGTAGTAAATAAATTATTATTAATACATGCTATTATTTTTTTGAACATTTGAATCTTGTTTGACATTGTTCATATCAACACTCCTTTGCCATGGCAAAACCACTGTAATGCAGACTTTTGTCGCTTACTGCTTTAGTGTCTGGCAGGAAAGGAAGTAATCCATTTTATGTTCATGGCCTCTTCGTTCTTGCCATGTGTTAGTGAGCAGGAACACACGGTCTGTGTCATGTGAGTAGCAGCATGATTAATTCACACAGTCTGGAGGTTAATGCAATAATGAATAGTGCCGCTAGCATAATGTGTGTATCTGTGTCTTATGTACACATACTCCTATGTATCTTTTTTCTGCAATAATATAGTATAGTCTATATATGTATGTTGTAATAACATAGTAGTACTATTATTATTTGGATAATCAACAATAGGATAATAGTAGTTTTAATGTTAGTATAAGTTTTCATGCTTTGTGCTGCGTCTTTACCAACCTTGGTATGATATATCAACAAGCAATTAAAACTCATGTTCATGTCCTAACCAGCCGTGACTAGTGAGTTATTTCTGTGGCATTGCCACACCCAATGTGAAAACTCATTGGTTGAAAGTTCTGTCTCATTACAGTACATTAAACATGAAATATCTTCTGATTTGTTGATCAACAAGTTTTTTTGTATAGTACCGTAATTGGTATGATCAAGGATCATTGGGGGTGTGTGTTTGGCAATCCACCATGATGGCTAATGCTGTAAATGTTTTATTCATATTCTGATAAAGGTTTATGGTTGGACTTCTAAATCATAGCCATTTTACTTTAATATGTAATGATAAAACGAATCCAATCATGAGCCGTGGCCTTGCCGGAGGAGTGTTTATAGATGCGTGTGTGTGTCTCCTGTAATCCCTCATCTCACCACCATCACAGTGCTTTACATGGGTTTGATCAGACCGGCTCTCAGAGATTAGGCCCAGTCACCATCAGCAGCCAGACATAAACATGACACAGTAAATTTTTCAGGCCTGTGGAGTAGGGGTCGACCGATTATTGGCGCCGATATATTAAGCATTTTTATGATTATCGGTATCGGTCATTTTCAAAACCGTTTTGCCGATAAAATAATTTAATTTTGAAACAAGCTATTTGGCTCTGATGCAGTCTGTCGGAACTCACCACTCTGTGGCCTAGAGCAATCTCCGCCCACCGCCCATCCGATTTGTTGGGAGTTATGAATCTGACCAATCAACAGGGAAGGCTAAAGGCACTGAAAGTTTTGCACTCTCGACCGCACCAGTTGCACCCCCCTAAGGACGGCCCTGCGTATGCTGACAAAGTCAGCGCTGTACTACGGTAAAGTTCAAAATAAATATATAAAGTTAAACATAACTTTGTGCTCAGCCAAAATGATATGACCAGGAATAAATAATAGATTCATGAGACCACGAATGCCTGTTAAATATAGCCTACCCAAAACTAATTGTATCTCATGTTTATTCACTACAGAGACATCAGAGCCAGCGGCAAATGTCGAAAGGACTAGCCGAGTTGAGGCTGCTCTCGGCGGATACATGAGCACTGAGCGCCCACTGATCGCCTGGAGCTCCGAAATCGGCATAGCAAATTTTCAAATAGGCGCTATCTTTATAAATAAACCACAGATTTGAGTTTTAAACAATTACATTCTCGCCTGAAAAACCCTTAAAGCTACATTTCATAACACAATAACAAAAAACAAATACCAAAAAAGTGGTACGGTACGGTTTGCTATTTTGGTACCATTCACAACTTCTGACAGTGGAAACGGACATAATTGCGTACCGTACTGTACTGTACCGAACCGTACCGCTCAGTGGAAACGAGCCAAAAGTGGGAGGTGAACTAAATTTGTATTTATAATAATAGTGTATTACCTCTTCTTTTGCAGAGCGGTGAAGTTCTTCTTGAAGGCGGCGCTAATCTGGCTCAGCAGTTCCACTAGAGAGTGGCTGAGGATACTGGGGTTGGCTGGCTTGGGATTGAAGACGTAAGTAGTGGACCTGCAATGATTATTTTCATGTTATGACTAATTACAGAAAAGGCTGGCATTACATTTCTATACCATTTACTGATTAACTTTAAGTGAGCATTAGACTTAACAGAAAAGTTAATCAAAATACAAAAAAAGTGGAAATTCACACAAACAATAAAATAGATAATACCAAAAATTAAATATTCAATGTCGAGTGATCCCGATAAATAAATAAAAAATTTAAAAATAGCTGACAATGGAATGCCATGCTAATCAATCAGAATTAAGTATTTTAGTTAGCAATATAGAGAGCAATAGTCATCTGTCCACTTTTTCAGCGGACTTGGTTTCAGAAATTATTTTCCAAACATTTTTCCCAAAAGGATTTTTTGTCACTTTATTTTAAGGTCCAATTCTCCCTATTAACAAGCCATTAACTACGACTTTTGCCTCAAACTCCTAATTTGCTGCTTATTAATAGTTAGTAAGGTAGTTGTTAAGTT